ACAAATATTAGAGATGAAGATTTAAATATTTGGTACAGGTTATATATTTTTGTAACACCAGAAGTAGCAGAGTTTGAAGTAGAAACTGCACTAAATGACATGTTACTCAACTTACCAAAAAAAAAAGGGTGAATTAATTAATTAAAAATATTTTTTGTTGCTTATAATTATTGATTTATCCATCATTTTTCTTTCAATTGTAACATTTTCAGTAGAATTAATATATAACGTTTGCGTAATGTTATCAATAAAAATAATCTTTTCAACTTCTATTCGGGCGTAAACGAATAACCAGGGATCTTGCATAACAGTTTCTTCCATTCTTCACTTTTGAAGCAGAAAAAGACATTCATATATTTTTTATATGAATTTTGTTTTTTATGTAGTCTGTGTACGCTAGTTTACTGAAACGTTAATTAGGATGAAATATCCAGCACCTGGTATTGACTTGTATAAAAGTCTGCAGTATGTAAAACGGCTCACACTGCTATGTAATGAGAGCCTTAGTTTCCCTACCTGGAAAAATAATAATTTTACGTTCTTTATTATTCTTGAGGGGTATCGGGCGATTTTAGTTAGGTTTTATTATCCACACTAGTACAAACTAAGAAGTTAATGTTTAAATATAATACCTATCTAAATATTTATTATAATAATTATTTACATTACATTGCGTGTAGGCGATTAGTCAGCCTTGCACAGTCCTGACAAGATAATTGTGTAAAAACACAAAATCTTCGTTATGGATGTACACGCCAACAAATACAAAATCGTGGCAGCAAATCTGTAACAATGTAAAATTATACCATTTATACTAAACTGTAAATTGTATCATATTAAAGTAGAAATGTCTGCAGTCTTAAAAACCTTTTGGGTTATTCCGTTCGTCAGACATAATCAAAACTAGAAAGCAAGTTACAGATTCAATAAGGGGTTATTATTTAAGTGTTATATAAAATTACATAGTGGCAATCCAAAGCTTATTTTAATAATTTTGATCTCTACTGTAGTCTTTCTTAGTTTTCATTTATTTCAACCCAAGAGAAATATTTAATATTTATTTTTCAGAGAATACTTTATACAAAAAGTAATTGTTCCAAAAATTGGAAGTAATTTACTGTAAGTTTGTGAGATATGATACAGTAGCATAAAATGCTTTTTTCCTAAGTTTTATGATTTAATGCTACACCAATCAGAAATCACTATGTAAAATATTTAAGGCCTTTCTGTTGTTGAAACTGAAAGACGTTTCACATGTTTATTTATTTCCTGGCTCCAATAAAACCATTAACTATCAGTTTCATAGCGCGTCAGCTTTCTTTTAAAAAACTACTTGATGGTTACACATGTAAATAAAGATCCTTAATATCTTCACATATGACATAATTGTGTTGTTATTTTAATTCTGTAGGCAGAAACAAGAGAATAACGAGAATTGTGATAGACTTACTATTTTAAACAAAGAAAACACTACTTGGGTCATTTTAATTTTTCATGAGTATTTCATATATAGATTAGAACTTATTTATAGTAATTGTGTATGTTCTACGAACTTCATTGGGCCTACTGCCATATTCCAGCCCATGATGTAACTGAAGATGAGTCTAACCCCATCATTTCTACGTAATATAAGTGTTAAACTTAGTGAAAACTGTGAAATTGTTGATTGACTGACGATTCGTTCACTGAAATATTACGCATCATTTATTGGCTTATTCGATGTAGAGGTAGTGGGTAAAAAAAGATGCTGGCCGACTCGACGCTATCCTGGTTTAGCCATTTTTTTTCTATTCAAACGCTTGGTTATTTCACATTTAGGTTTGAAGTTCAGTGACTTTATTCAGCGTTTCCTAGGTTTAGCGAATGAAATCTTGTACTGCTAAACACGTGTTAACATCATACAACACCGGATATAATTTTTTTTTAATACTTAAAAGTGAGGCTTTATTCTACGTGTCAGTGTGTATAAACTAGTTGCTTCGACCCAGTGTTGTGAAAAGCGTAACATATGAAATGTAGATTGAGTAGTAAATCCGTGTTATGATTATTATTAATAACGATAATAATAAACGTACCACCGCGTATTTGGCAAGCTGGTCAGTTGACCATATATTTTTTCGACCAGTGCAAAACTGGTCAAACACCCTAAAAATTGTATTAAATGCCGTAAATATGCGTGGGTAATAGTAGCAGACTTGCAAAATGACGAAGTGTTCAATCCAATCAATATAAAAATGTTTTTATTGTGTCATAGCCTAGTATTTATATTATGTTATAGTATAACATATAACAATGTCATAGCCTAGTATTTATATTATGTTATAGTATAACATATAACAATGTCATAGCCTAGTATTTATATTATGTTGTATTATGACATATAGATAACATATAACAATGTCATAGCCTAGTATTTATATTGTTATATTATAACATATAGATAACATATAACAATGTCATAGCCTAGTATTTATATTATGTTATATTATAACATATAGATAACATATAACAATGTCATAGCCTAGTTGTTATATTATGTTGTATTATAATACCCTTTAAATTTATACAGCGAACACTTTCCATTTTTTAAACTTGCAATGTAACTTCACAATAATAGTATATTGTTAAAAAACAAAGTTGTTCGGTATAATGACTGGTAATATTATTTATCTATGTTATACAATGTCAGTATGAAGGCACAGTATGCAGCAGTGGCTTTGTTGTTGTCAGAAGGCTAGAGACAACCCATGAAATGGTTCTTCCTTTGTTTTCATTTAATTTACACTGAATGAAGTAAATTCAGTATAAGTAGTTAAGATGGATAAAAGTAAATAATATATAAAATATTTGACCGTATTCGATATTATTTGACCCATCAATTGCCGGTTCTTCTTTTATCGATCAACTCATCAATAAAATTTTATCTGGGATGAGCCAGTTAGGTAAAATTAACTCCCTGTTGTCATCTTTTGTAATATATATATATATATATATATATACACACATACACACATATATACTAATTTAAAACAAAGAATATTGTCAGAGAAAATCCGGTTGATTTGACTTAACCAACTTGCAGGCTCATGTTATCAAATCCTTGAGTTTGTTAATACTGAGTTCAGATGTTGCATGGTGTGTACATAAATACCGTACTCCTAATAGGTTGGCTTTTGATTGGTTCATATTTGAGTCCCATATTGGACATTAACAATGTAATTTAATAGCAATGTGTAGAGAATGTATTTTCTTTGTGTTATGTATTACATTGTAATTTGAAAAAAAAAACATTTGTTATTTATAATTTTCCTTAATTTTAAATATACCTCAAAGATTCTGGGTTTTTAATATATATGTATGTGATAAATAGGTTAATCTTTTAATAATATGGGCCCATATATGTGGTATTCACAAATGCACTTATTTCTCTTGAATAATTGGTTAGGTTCTGCAGAATAACTGGAGGTTAGGCAGAAAAGGTTATGTGGAGTTTAACTTTATTCTGTGACTGATGGAATTGTGAAAGGAGGAGAGAGGACACAGTGTATAACAATGTGAAACATTTGTTATTCACACAAATGAAAAATGAATATGTTTGTAGTATCTTTATAGTTGGTTTTAGAGATTCGAGTGAAGAAGTTAATCTCTCTCTAAAGAACTGCTCCAGACTGATCCAACAGCAATATATATATATATATATACAAAACAATAATACTCTTCTTCTATATTACTATTGGTCATTCCAAATGAAAACAAAAAGGCTATATGTTCAAGTTATCACTTGACCCACCAGTGGAAAAGATCACTGTCCACTTTCACATAATATTCATCTTTACAGAAATTTTTCATATGAGAAGATGCATATCCTAGGTGGATGACCCAGTAATATAGGTATCTAAAACAAAATGAATTCAGCTATTTCATTGCTGAACTTTCTAAAGTTTTCTATAACTAAAACTACATACACCTGTAAGCCTAAAATTTGTGATAAAATCATATAAACTAGAGTTGGCTTTTGTTTCACATTTCAGATCTATCTTTTATCTTCCACAAGTCACTATCCAAGAGGTCTAAATGAAAGACAATAAAGATTCTTCAAAGTACTATTTAATTTAATACTTCAGTTGGCAAAGCATTAGAAATCAACAGGACTAAAATTTGTGATAAAATCCTGTAAATTGCAATTTTTTTTCATAAATTCCTGTTAATTTTTCCATTTTGTATTTGTAACAGATGCGTGTAAAAATAACATTTGAGATATATTCTTTGCCCTTAAAGTACCTGAAGCATGTATTTATTTGCCTTTTGTACATGCAATTCACTGGTTTATAATTTTAAAAAAAGTAGCATGCTTCATATTGTTGTATTGCAGTTATATTTAGATTCCAGATCTTTGTTCTAGGATATATTAATAATATAAGTTTAAACCTCTGTGTAAAAGAAAGACTTTTGCAGGCCTCCTTAATCAATATGGCAGCTTCTGCCCTCCAATTACAAACTTAACCTAGCTAAAAGTTTAGACCTATTTAAAGATGACAATAGTTTATATGGTGGTCAGTAAAATAGCATTTTTGTTTTTTATTCGAAGATTATAGTTGTGAACCTTTTGTTTGTTTGAGAGCAAAGCCACATTAGGCTATTTGCTGTTTCCGCCACGGGGAATCGAACTCCTGATTTTAGCTTTCTGAGAACCTTTACCATCATGTGTAAAATGATTGTCTAATATCTGAATTTGTGTATATATTAAAGTATTTTTGAGAAGTTTCTTCAATTATTTTATTTTATACAAGTTTTGGGTTATTCTGCATGTTGTCTTGTACTAATTAAGAAGGATTTTTATTTGGAGTATGTTGCTTTTTTTTTTTTTTAACATGAATTATCTTCAGCAGTAATAAAACTTTTTCTGTCTTATCACTGGCCATAGCTTTCCTCTTGGCTGTCAAGAGACAAATTAAACCTTACAAACTTCCTCTGTGACATCTGGTTTTTGTCTCTTTTAGCAACTGCAAGATGAAATTGCAGAAGTCACTGCAGAGATGGAGAAGCTTGAAGCACAAGAGGAAAGGTAGCTTACTTTTACTTGCAGTATCATTTTGTACTATTGTAAAAAAAAGTGTGCTTATATAATAAACGTACTTTAAAGTAATCTAACCAATGGAATTGTTTAACATACGCATATAAAATGCAAATCTGTTATCTTTACAACTTTCACTGGTTAAAAGTTTGTTTAGCATAATCAGTGCAACACATGTAGGTATGCTACTAATTTGGTATCATAGTTTGTGTTTTTGTAGAGCCTTTATCCACCTTGCAGAATCAAACCCAGATTTTAGCATTCTGTGAACATTTACCATCATATGTAAAATAATTGTCTAATATCTGAATCTGTGTATGTATCTAGGATATATTAATAATGTAAGTTTAAACCTCTGTGTAAAAGAAAGTCTTTTGCAGGGCTCCTTAATCGATATGACAGCTTCTGCCCTCAAATTACAAACTGGTAGTTGACAAATTTGAAGTTGAATTCTATTGATTTAAAATATTAAGTTAAAACACCTTAATAGTCAGACTTGTTTTGCTCGAAATGTGTTTTATATTTGAGTTTTTGGTAAGTTACTTCAGTAACAAGTATATTCATATTCTCTTAGAGTAGAATACGGAAAGGTGTTAGACTAAACCACACACAAAACTGAATTCTGATTCAGTATGTAGTGATCTAACAACTCACATTTAATAGTGCAGGAAAGTAGAACATTTATCAACTAACAACCTTTTCATGTTTCAGAGTTAGACTAAACCTCACATTTAGTGTTGCAGGAATGTAGAACATTTAGAAACTAACAACCTTTTCATGTTTCAAGGTGAATATAGACTAAACCTCACATATAGTAGTGCAGGAAGGTAGAACATTTAGAAACTAACAACCTTTTCATGTTTCAAGGTGAATATAGACTAAACCTCACATTTAGTAGTGCAGGAATGTAGAACATTTTGAAACTAACAACCTTTTCATGTGTTTCAAGGTGAACTTAGACTAAACCTCACATTTAGTAATGCAGAAAAGTAGAACACTTAGCAACTAACACCCTTTTCATGTTTCAAGGTGAATATAGACTAAACCTCACATTTAGTAATGCAGGAAAGTAGAACATTTAGAAACTAACAACCTTTTCATGTTTCAAGGTGAACTTAGACCAAACCTCACATTTAGTAGTGCAGGAATGTAGAACATTTAGAAACTAACAACCTTTTCATGTTTCAAGGTGAATATAGACTAAACCTCACATTTAGTGGTGCAGGAAAGTAGAACATTTAGAAACTAACAACCTTTTCATGTGTTTCAAGGTGAACTTAGACTAAACCTAACATTTAGTGGTGCAGGAAAGTAGAACATTTAGAAACTAACAACCTTTTCATGTGTTTCAAGGTGAATATAGACTAAACCTCACATCTAGTGGTGCAGGAAAGTAAAACATTTAGAAACTAACAACCTTTTCATGTGTTTCAAGGTGAATATAGACTAAACCTCACATTTAGTGGTGCAGGAAAGTAAAACATTTAGAAACTAACAACCTTTTCCTATGTTTCTGTGTGTAATAAACAATAACAGAGAAAGAATAACATTATTCCAAATGTATGTTACTGACCAACTTGAAGTTTGGTGGATAAAATTATATTTATAATATTGAGATTCAGAATTTACAAGAGATACACTATTAATGTTAAAAATAATTCCACATATATTTGTATCTTTGTATAGTAGACTATTGTGTCAAAGATTGTATTTGATTTGTCTATTTAAGTACTCTGTTTTTTTATTATTGTTAACTGTACCATGGTAATCATATGAGTCATAATTGTTTCATTCAGATTGTTTCTGCAAAACTTCATCATAGTAGTGGTTACTAACAGATTTTAAAAAGCAGATGTATAATTCCAGATTCTTATATCCAGGAATATATGGTGTAAAGATATTTGATTTTCAAAATATAAGTGTCATTGTATGATTCCTTTTCAGTAAAACCAATACAAAAACAAAGCAGCTATCTATAGGGAAGAAGAAATTTAATATGGATCCCAAAAAGGTATGAAAGTATATGAAAATTATCCGATACTGTTATATTTTATGTACATATTTTTTTAATAGGTTTTTACCATTTTCTTTTTGAAAAGGTTTATTATATTTGAGAAGTCATCTTAGTCATGTAGTGATCATAATTACTTTATGTGCTTGTTTATGATTAAGTAAATATATATTTTAAATAGATGGTTATAGAATATATAAATACAAAAGTTATATATAAACTGTAATATTATCAATTCTTAACCTTTTTTTATGAAATCATCCAGAAATATAACACAATTTGAATTAAAGGTTGTCAGGTTGTTTCTAACATCTGTTACTAAGCTTTGTAGGGTTCATAGAGAAGATAAAGGTGAAGCATGGGTCGTTATGGGTCTAAAATGACCAATATGGGATAAAGGAATGGAGTAAAAATATGATTTCAGTGCTTTACAATTTTGAATATAGCTATTATAAACATCAGCAAATACACATTTTATATGCAATGTTGAAGGTTACATGCTTCAAAATTATGCTTTAACACAGCAGTCAAATGGACAATGTGATCCAATTTAAAATGATCCTATGTGGAGTACAGAAATTATAAGTATGACGAATATTTTGCATATGAAGAAGTTAGTTTGTGGCAAGTTCTAATTATTTATTCCATGGAAAGCTTGGGCTCCATAAACTTTAAGTGTACTCCTTTTACATAGCATCAATTGATCAACTAATATTTAGCTCAGTATCAGAGCATGTGATCAGGATTGGGATTTTGCTGACAAGAGTGATGTATATGGTGCAGATGACTAAGTGGCAATACTTTAAATATATTTGAATGATAATGCATATTGATTTAAGTTGTTGTTTGTTTCAAATGGATGTGATTCTCAGTTAACGCATCCTGATAATCTTGCCTGCCCTTTCTATCTTACAGGTTATCATAATGTAATATGATGGCATAAATGCTTTCATTTGTCACCATATAAGTTTAAATGTATTATTAGGTTTGTTACTATAGAAAATTTTCTGTGATTATTTCAGAAGTAATTAACACTGAGAATTTACTCTGATTAATATGTAAGTCCACATGTAGTAGTGGTCACTATCTTACAGTTTTGATGTGTTAAGGATGTGATTTGTCTTGTCATCAACTAGATTTGTGCAAATTTTCATCCAAATCTGACATGGACCATTTTCAGACTTTATTGACACCTGTGCTTTACAACGAGTCATGTATTGTAAAGTAATATTGATGTACAAGTATAAATTGACATTAAAAATCTGCAGGTGTTGAAATGTCAAGTAAAGTAATTAATGTTGCTATGAGGTATGGAAAATAGGGTTATATATGTAATTATGAGTTGATAGATACCAAGTTTAATTTCAACCTTAACTGTAGATATTCTTATCTTTAGAATTGCACTTCAAGAAAATAGTTTGCACTTGTGATTTGGTCTAAAAACCTAAGTGAAGTAAATTAAGTAATTGTTTTGATAATTACATGAAAATCCAAGATTAATGTAAAGTGTGGTAGCATTTATTAATCATTCTTTTTGTTAGGATGATTCTGTTGTTAAAACTGTATATAATATTATCTCTAAAAGGTTTGAAAGTTGTCTAATTCATTTATAATATTGTTAAGCTCTAAACATAATAGAAATACAAAGTTTAACTAAACAATCACCGTTAAAGTTTGTTTTAAAATTTGTCTAGACTAGTTTATTAATCATCAGTGTACCAAATGTTCTTGCTAGGGTATTGAATATCTTGTTGAACATGGGCTGCTACAAAACACAGCAGAAAATGTTTCTCAGTTTCTCTACAAGGGAGAAGGACTGAACAAAACAGCCATAGGAGAATACTTAGGAGAGAGGTAAGTAACATAGAATTATTCCTTAATTTTTTCATTGAAAAATACTGATAATTCTCTTATTATTAGTTTTATTACTAACTAGTTTTATGCATTAAAATATTTTTAAACTTTTAAAAGTGAGACAGTGCTAATGTTTAAGTGAATACTGATTATATGTTTTGAAATAATTTTCCATCTGAGTATATATATATATATTTTTTTTTTCTGGCTAGGAATGATTTCAACATGAAAGTTTTGGATGCATTTGTGGAGCTCCATGATTTTACAGATTTAATTCTGGTGCAGGCCTTGAGGTACTTCATTTCGTATGTTAAAACAATCAAGTGTCAGAGACTAAACTTCATACTATGAAATAGATTGATACTTTAAGATAAAACAGTTGAATAACCCTAATAGAGGGTTGTAGAGGTAGTATCTTATTTAGTAACTTGTAGCTTTCTATGTGCGACACTTGTTGTTCATATTTTGATAATTACATTTTTAAAACTAACAGTCTTCGATATTGTTACTTAAAGTAGTAGTTTGTAAGTAAAGAATTGGGTTTTAGAGATTGAAGTAACTGTTACATTGTCAACAGACAGTTCCTGTGGAGCTTTCGTCTTCCTGGAGAAGCTCAGAAAATTGACAGGATGATGGAAAAATTTGCTCAAAGATATTGTCAATTAAACACAGATGTTTTTAGTAATATTGGTAAGTGTTTTTTTTTTTATATTAAGTTCAAGCAAACTTTTGGGTTTGATATTGTTTATAACAGGAAGTTGTATCACTGATAGCTTCCCAGTTTATGAATTACCATATTCAAATCAGAAATAAAACTCTCCTGAACAACACAATAAGAGCGAAGAACGAAACATTATGTTGGTATCATTCTTGTACATTAAGATTAAAAAAACAAAAAATGACATTTTTTTGGCACAACGAAAAATAAAATCTTTATTATAGGTTACAGCCGACCAACTTTGGTAACACAGTTACTATCATCAGGGCTAGCATATATATATATATATATATATATATTAAGCGCTTGAACATAAATATAAAATAATAGTGAACAAAAACAGTATGTTGGTTTATTTTGATAATTCATATTTTAATATATTAGGGAAGAACACAAATAGCATAAATAGTTGCTCTTCGAAACATTGATGAAGAGCACTAGTATGAAAATGGTTGTTAGGTCTACTAAATAAAAATTCATTATTAGTTTAAAAGAAAAGATATCTTCATGGACATATTTCGAGCCAAAGGAAGGGTCAAAGTGCACATGTTACAGTTCTTTACAGAGTTACATTTAAAAGTCAGTTAAACAACTTTATAAATATAATCAGTGTGTGCAAATAAACATGACAACAAAATATAGTTTATAATCAAATTTTAGTGTTATATTAATTTTAATTTGAAAATTAAATGTTTAAATAAATTCTCAATCTTTACTTCTTTGTTCTATGTGACAGTTACTTATTTCAAATTGTGCATTACAGATTTTCTTTTCTACCCCTATATGATCTAAGTTTGATAAGAATTGCACACATATATATTAGATATCCTAGAGCTAAAATGTACATTAAAATAGGATGTAGGCTTCTTGCTTTACTGAGATATATGCAATAAAGTGAAATCCCTATGCCACACCCATCCTAGCCTATCCTGTTTTAAAAAAATGTCAGTAATTCTTTGTGACATTTTCTGTTGGATTATGTGTAACAAACACTAAATGCTTTGAAGCTATGTTTGCTCAGATGACAGACTTTGAAAAAGACATTGCCTGCCATCATTGGTGTTCAACCAGCTTTCAGAATTATTTGAACACATTTATGGCCTATTTAAGAAGCCAGTTAAATTATAGAAGTTTTAGGACATTCTAATTTTTGTGCATGGCAACATTGTGTATTATAAATTAAATATTTGAATTAAAAAAAATCATTTGTGAGACAACACTTTTGTTACAAAATGATAGGCCTAGTTAGCCTCAAGGATATTATTGAGTACAATAGCTTGAAAAAGACAAGATTCCAGATATAAGTATTGAATTTTTTGTTTTTATGCATATTTTTATTTATTATTATAACAGTAAATAAAATGTAAAAAATATATATAAACTTACTAGGTTTGATAAGAAAACTTAATTAAAAAAAATTAATAAACAAAATACTTATGATAACACAAGCTCATTATTGTATAATTTGATCCTTTGTTTACACAAAGCTGTCCCTCATAATAAATAGCTTTTGCCTTACTCTGAGAGGGTGTAAGTTCAACTTTAAAGAAGTAAGACTAAATTAAAAGCCTGTTAGCTTTGATTGTAGTAATAAATAGTGTGTAATTGTTTGTTATAATGTGAAGTCATTATAAAAAAAAAAAGTGGGTAATTTAGATTTATTTTGTATTTTTATGTTACGTAATGGTTACGAGGTTGATCAAATTGATTAATCCTTTATACAATTATTGTTAGGATAGGGAAAGGAAAATAACAGATAAATATAAAGTTTTACTGAACAAAAACTTGATATTCATTTAGGAGGTTATGCAAATGAAATATGAAAATTGTAAAATAGAAAAAGTATTTTTATTCTTAACATCAAAAATCACCTTGCAATTAGATTCAGTAAAGGCTTTATAAATTCAGACAAATCTTTTATGAAAGTACTTTTAAAAAAATTTAGTACAACAGACTTGTAATGTTTACTAAAAGCTTGCCAAATGTTATGAAGATACACTCACTACATTTAAAGTTATAATGTATAAGGTTTCATAGTTACATGGTAGTTACAAGATCTGCCAAAATGACCGAGCCCTTACAGAGAGAGTTAGTGAAAAACAAATCATAGAATTAAGTGTAAAAACTAGGTATTCAAAGTTCTAAGTGCATCTCTTAAGAGTATTCACTACTTCATCTGTTGGGTGTTTGATGAACAATGTTTGTGTAAATTTTACAGAATAGTTTTTACTGTTGATATTAGTGAACCAAAAAGTATGATATTTTGTTGTATGCAGTGTTATAATACTGAATAAAAGAACATTAATAATAGGTTGTAGTTTTGTCTAATTGTTGACATATGTATGACAAGCAAGTGCACAAAACATTTTCAAACAGCTGCTTATGTATGTTCCACCTAGGTTTTTATACCAACTCTATTTTATTAAGAATTATATTACAGCAGCCATTAGCTTAATGTAATTAATGGCTATGTTGTTAAGCATTAAAGTTACTAGATAATTTCTTTTACAGTCAGTTTCTCATAGAATTTTCTTATAGATAATTTACATAAGTAGCAAATCTCCTTATCAAACTTTGAAACGTAAATAATTTATGAATTTAAGAGAAATGTTTTCTTTATTTGTAATTTGTATAGTTTATAATCTTCTTTGAGATTTAGAATGAATGTTTCTTTTTTTTTTAGGATACGTTTATCAGCAAAGGACTTTAAGGCTGCTCATTTTTTTTATTATACTCTATTGATCTAATAGATATAGAAGTAGATTTATATATATATATATATATATATATATACGATAACATACCTATATGTTCTAGAAATCTCCGTATGTCGTTAAGGTTACTTGTAAACTCTGAAAACAAAGAAACCACAGAATATTTGTCTTTGGTACTTAGATACGTGCTATGTCCTCTCCTTTGCCATCATCATGTTAAACACATCACTGCACAATCCTAGTGTAAAGGAAAAACCATCAGTGGAACAGTTTATCAATATGAATCGAGGCATCAACAATGGAGAAGACCTTCCTCGAGAACTAATAGTGGTGAGAATTTTGAATTTTTACAGAATTGAGAAGTGAATTAAATTCATAAGCTAGTGAAATATTCTTTGAATTTTGTTAAATAATAAAATGTGTTTTAAATATCATCATATGTGAAGCATAATATCAGTAACATAGTGATTCATACTTTTTATATTAATAGGGTAATATTTGATTTTTCAGATATTGATGAGGTCCTTATTAAAACAGAGTAAAATCTAAGACGTATTATAGAAAATAAAGTAAACAAGAATAAACAAGGTGTGGAAGAACACAATTTAGAAAAAGAATGTTTGTTTACTTGGTTAAGTGAATTATTATATAAAAGTAAGTGGATAAAAGGTCAGTGAATATAAAAAGTAAAATTGTTTGATGATTTTATAGGATTATTCAAACTTTAAAGAATTATAACTTCAATGCTGTATTTCTTTACAAACTATCCCTAGTCTATCAAACATAGGTGGTTAGTTCAAACCATTGACTAATTCATTGATACTGAATTATTATTAGAATGGTATATCTGAAAGAGGTATCTTTTTGTTTAATACTAACTGGGTTTCCCATCTTTGCAAGATTAGCTGCAAAGTTTGTGAAAGGGTACTTTATTTTAATGCAGTCTCACCTGATAAATATTATTATTAAACATAATGTTGTAGGTAATATTGAAGTTGATCATCATATTACAAAACAGTCTGTCACTTCTTAAGAGTGGCCTTTTATTCTCACCAAAATTATAATAAAGGAGAGCTATAACGAGGTCTTTGATAACTTTATTTTAAGGTAAAAGAAATACTTGTAGTTAATTAAGTGTAGCTAACATTTAAATAACAAAAGGGTGATTATTTTTCCAGAGTCTATATGATAGCATTAAACAGGAGCCTTTTAAGATTCCAGAAGATGATGGAAATGATTTGATGCATACATTCTTTAACCCAGACAGAGAGGGCTGGCTATGGAAACAAGGTAAATTTTTTCTTGTTTGTTTTGATTAAGTTTGTGTTAAAAATCTGGTTTTGATACCCGTGGTTCACAACAAACAAGCATAACTATTGTGAACCATAATTTCACTGGAGAATATACTTGGACCCTATTAGCTTAAAATCTCATATGTAGCATATTTACTCTCTCACTTTACACAGATTAACTTTTTTAAATGTGTTCTTCATCAGAGCACGTAGGTAGACGAGAAAAAGTGAAATTATGAGTGTTTTATTAAAATCAAATAATATCAGATATTTTGTAAAACAGAATTATTCTAGTGCTTATCTCCTGGTAAAGAGATTCAGCTAGTAGGAAGAAAATCCAGTGCTAATATTCCTACTTAAAATATGCATGGTTCTTCTATTAGCCCTGACTGCACATAGACTTTGAAAAGATTTTAACTTAGAGCCATATTGTGATTTTGTATATACAATATAGGTATTTATCGAGTACAACTCATTAATCTATCAAAGAGGCTCTTCATGTTATAGCTAGTCATATTTGTTATAGAAAAAAGTCTTTCAAAAGTCCAGTAATTCTTATTGTTATAGAACATACTTATAGATGATTTATGATAGCACTTAGTGATAATCAGTGTAAAGATTTTATAGGTATTAAAAAAATGGTGTTTATTGGTGTCAGTATGCTTTGCCCAGCTCAACCAACAAAAATTTAGTTCTGCAAAGGTTACTACTTGACATTTGTTTTAACAGTGTCCAAACCATATGATAAATATTAGATGCTCTGAAAAGATTTTTGTCAGTAAACTGCTTTGTAAAGATATTGAACAATAACATATAGCCTTGTTAAGGTTGGGTAATTTGTAAGAACACACATTTTGATTATGTTATTTACAAATCATAAGTCGACGAAGGCAATAACAAATCCATCACAGTGATTGAGATGAGGTTAAAAGTTAGTACAGCTTGTTTGACTTCTGCCTTTTCAAACTTATAAATTAAATACAATACTTCAGTACTTTAACAATCAATAAAGTTGTTTGAATATATATATATATGTGTGTGTGTGTGTGTGTTATTGTTAACATACTGTTTCCAAGTTTTCTTAACAATATTAGAAAGAATAGAGAATCTATAATTATTTGTATGGTACTTAGTATTTAATTTTAATGAAATAGTTGCTCTAATATATCTATAAATATTCTTAACATTTTGTAAATCAACATCATAGGAAGTATTTCAATAAGTACCTCAATTTGCTGAATATAACTCATAATACAACTCTTGAATGTTATAATAGTGAAGAAAAACTAATAATTCTTCATAACTTTTTTGTAGATTCAGTAAAAATATCCATTTACAAAATAATCTACTTATATGTAGTATATATACTCCAGCCATAAAACCTCTCTTTTTATGTTATAATAGAATCACAATTCTACTAAAATATACACTTGTTGAATTACAAAAAACGTTAAATAGTAATTTAAGTGTAAATGTAAAAGTAGAGTTAAAAAGTCTATACATACGCACAGGAATAACATTCATGATTTTACAAAGTGTACTGATATAACTACTATTTTTAAAAACATACTCAGAATAAGAGCCTGCTAAGTTAATTTACTATGAAAGTAGAGGCCTAAATGTTTAATATATCTTTTAAAGTCTGTGTTATCAATCTTTATATTAAACACAATCATCTGACATCTTTTATTACTACTAGATAAAAGCTAGTTTTAGTACTGTTTAAAATAAGCTTATTAATGTTAAACCAATTTTTATTTTGTTTTCCATGATAATTTGCTTAATTTTCCAATCTTTTTACATCTTACAAATAAAATTAACCTTGTATTGTTAGCATACATGTAAGTTTTACTCTAAGTACAATTTTCATGTAAATTATTAATATATACTGAAAAATGAATAATAGAACCCTGAAATACAATATTATTGTTCTGTCTTCAAATATGATTGAAAACACTCCAAGGCAGTACTCATTTTTCCATAATAATTTAATTTTTTAATAATATTTTATAATTTATGATATCAATTCCCTTTTTTTTTTTTCAGTCTTTGAAAATACCCAAACTATTTTCAATATTATTTTAAAATTGCTCTATAAATGTAATAAAAGCTGGTTTAGTACCATATTTACTTCAAAAACCAGAGAGTTCAAAGTTATGTATTTATCAAGAAAAAACTAAATTATTTTTTATAATATAAATACACTTAACACAGGGCCAATGGCCTCTACAGAATAAAGAATAATCTAACACTTCTCTATGAAAACTTTTTATAGTTTTATTTTGTGCAACGTTTTGGGCACACACCCATCATTAGACAGTAAAGACTGTGTTACAATGGAATTAGGGTCAGAAAAGTCTTTCTAAGCTAATGGCCTTTACAACATTATCTAGTTACTTCACTATCTTCTCTGCAGACTTAAATGAACAGTATTTGAGATAATATTTGTAATAAACTCAGTAGAATATTTTTTATATAAATTAGGTCCTATTTCAACAAAGTAATAATTAAATTCATTTACAGTTTTATCAAGATCAGTAGCCACTAATTGTTTGTCATTTCCTGAAAATGTAAGTTTATTAGGGATATTAATTAGTCTTATTTTAGTAAATGATCTGTGTTATTCCACACTTTTTTGTTATAATCAGATTAATTTGTCACAGCTTGCTTCATAAAATAGACCTTTTAAAACAAACACTTGTTTTCATCCATCCTTTATAAATAGAATAATAGACCTTTTAAAACAAACACTTGTTTTCATCCATCCTTTATAAATAGGATAATAAATCTTTTAAAACAAACACTTGTTTTCATCCATCCTTTATAAATAGAATAATAGACCTTTTAAAACAAACACTTGTTTTCATCCATCCTTTATAAATAGAATAATAGATATTTTTAAAACAAACACTTGTTGTCATCCATCCTTTATAAATAGAATAATAGACCGTTTAAAACAAACACTTGTTTTCATCCATCCTTTATAAATAGAATGCTTATTTCTTTTTTTGAGTTGAAATTGATTCTTGTTATCCAAGGTTTCCTAAATTCCACTGACTTTAAAAACATCTTTGAAGATTAGCAGTTTTCATTAAACTCAGTTAAGTAGGCTTCAAAGTCATTAACTGACAAAACTGTTTAGGTATTTATGCAATTTTGTATTTAAAAAAAGTAAAAATACAATGTTTGATTTCCATTAAAAATTTCAATATCATGACTGATGCCAGATTGCAATGAATTGTAAGTCAAATAAGTGTTATGCTTATTTACATATTACCTCTAATAGAAAAACATTTGAAAATATTTTTTAAAACCAAAATGTGGTTTTAAAATTTCACTAAAGAAAGATATTAATTTTTAAGAGCCTTTGTTTCACCGTGAAAAAAATTTTTTTCTGATACATGCTTTTATTTTACCCAAAATAAATGTTAAAAATTTGAAGGCTCTTACTAAATTTATAACCTTCATTCAACTGAACTAGACATTGAAGATTATGATTCCTTATTTTATATATGCATCCATTTCACCAGGAAGTTCAAAACTCAGTAAGTGGAAAAAAAATTCATGGAAATTGCATTATTTATAAAAGTACTTTTTATCACTTGAGCTGACTTTTAAAATATTCCCTGCTTTATGCTCTCACAAAACATCGATATTTTTGTTGAAATTGTTTTTGTTTTGAAAGAATTGCCTGTTTTTAACCTCGGAATGCATGCCTGCTGGTGTCATGTTAGTTTGACATACTTAGGTATCCTTAGTGGATAGCTGTAAATGCACGACTTGCTTATTTTGTTTTATATGCTGTTTTATGCTAAGCTTTAAAAGTGAATTATCATAAAATGTTAACATAAGTGTCTATTTAAAAATGTGACTAAATAATGCAGATTGTTTTCTTACAAATGAATTAAATGCACATCAACTGTTATTTTGAAAATGGCACCACTTGAGACATATTTATGTAGTTGGTTTTTATATATATAACCACTTGTATATTTTGTTCATGACAAATTCCTGACAGCATAGTGCTGCCATAAATAAGCTTATGGCTGTAGGTTATATTGCAGCCTTTTCAGAAGAGGAAGGATTTTCAAAGAGCAAGAATATAGAGTGAAAGAATGCATCATTTTGAAGAAGAGGACTTATTATGTTTTCTATGTAAGTGGACAACAACAGGCTCTGAGACCACACCCCAACTCAACCTGAACATTACCTTCATCCATAAAGTGAAGGCTGTAGTTGTAGTAGAGAACCCTGTGACTCAGCAAGTGATTACATTGAAGGTGGACCTTTCTTCTGATACAAGATAATAAAAGAATTGAGATTGAGAAAGGCTTACAAGCTTACAGCCATTGCTTAAAACCATTAGCTGTTTTCTTTTTATGAAAGACAGCTGAAGAAACTGAAATCACAGCAATCTTATTTAACCCTACACCTGTGGAGTTTCACTATTACAGCTTCAGCTGCCTTATGTGTCTTTGATCTGTTTAAACATTGTCTTAAAAACTGATGTTAACAAAAGGTGAAAATACTGTAGAAAATTCTTAAAGATCTAAAATCCAGGATTGATCTCACTGTCCTTTACAGAACCTTGTTAAAATAAAAATTGTGGTATCAGGCAACAAACAGTATGTAATTATTTCCCTCAGACTGACCATGTTCAGGACAGCATGGTATAAGAACATAGTTCTTCTATACTGTGATTAATCCACAGAAGCTTTCCTGCTCTCTAAATGTATTTTTTTTAGTTAGTCTAGTTTTACATGTTATAATATTTTAAAATAAACCAATATACTTGGTTTACTTAAAAGTAATCAACAAGGAGGGCATACATACATAGTACTATTTCAGACAAAGATCTATTAATTCTTGACGTACCAGTATGCCCACCAGGGACAATTAGAATCAGCTAATGATTTAATAATAAATATTTAAAAGCTGTGATTAGTATTAAAATGATTTTGAGCTTCTCCGTGTATAGTTGTATAGTTTGTTTACCATGAGTAAGTGCAACAGGTCCAAATGTTTGCTAATATTGGAACACCAGATATTTTAATAGATGACTTTTTTTGTGTTTTGATTGCATCTGTTTCATATACTTATTGTAAACCCAATCTTGTCAAGCATGAGCTCAGTTTTTAATGTTATAATTTACTTGGACATTAGATAATTATTTCTTTTTTAACTGTTTTGTGCAAATGCTGCTCTACCATATAGCTAGCATGTGCTAGAAATATTTACTTTCATGATCACTTTACTAGTGAAATGTATATGCTACTTTGTACATTCATGATGTACGGTATGACAATTTACAGTATTTTTCTAGTGTTGTATGATTTGTTGCTTAGTAATTCTGGCCTCAAATTAGGTAAACTCAATAGTGTAAAATATAATTCTCCTAAAAAATTTTTATTTATAGTCAGAGTGATAATATAATTTGTAATGTGTTTAAGAAAATGTATCTTTAGTTACTTGGGAATTGTATAATGCTATGTTTATATGTAATGAAACCAATATATCTTTTACTAGTCTTTAGTTTATCATAATGTCTTTCTGTAAAAATGTAGAATTTAGACAGAACGTCTTTTATGTACTTCAACATTACATAAAACAAATGTTACTGTTAACCATTTTTTGTATGTGACAAATAAAATATTTGGGTACTTAATGTTACTAGATTTCATGTGTGTGCTCTACCTTTGAGACAGATGTAGGTTTAATACAGTATGCTTGTACTCACTGTTCAGTTGTTTCTTGAAGTAGAAAGAGTTACTTTGATTTGGCAAATAACTGTAGATATAGTTAAAATTTCTAGTACAAATATTCATACATACATATTTATAATAAAGTTTTACTTATTATTTCAACATATATTTATAATTACATGCATTCATGCATATTTCATGTCAATTACTTTGTGTGAAGTTATACTTAGTATTTTTTAAATTTCTTGTAGGTGGTCGCTACAAAAGTTGGAAACGACGATGGTTTATTTTGAATGACAACTGTTTATACTATTTTGAGTACACCACTGTAAGTATTTAGATTGAAAGTTCAATTAGAAAACTCCTGACTAATTCAAATTTCATTACTCCACAAACATTTAAATTATTGACATAATATTGATTTTTTAAAATATTAAATAAATTAATGTTGGGAACTGAATAAAATTACCTGAGGGACGAGATGCAGCCTGTGTACCACCAGTTGGACAACATTGGTTTAATACAGTACTTGTCAGGCAGAAAAAGATAAAAATTATTGTATTTCAAGGTATTTCATATCAACCCTTTCTGTATTAAATTTCAAATTTTAATGGTATTACTTCCCTTGTATTTTTGGTCATATTAATAAACTGTTTCGATATTTCAATGTAGAAACTATTATTTAATGTTAAGACATAATATAAAATACTTTAATAAATTTGGTTAGAAAGTTTGATTAATAAATTTTGAAAAAAATGTAATCCAAGCTAATTATACATAATCTTTAATCTTTATTTAATTTTATTCTAGGATAAAGAGCCACGTGGAATCATACCTTTGGAAAATGTTCAGGTGCGAGAGGTTGTGGATCGAAATAGAGCCAATAGTTTTGAGTTATTTTCAACAGGCAGTGACATTATTAAAGCATGTAAGACAGATTCAGAAGGGAAGGTTGTAGAAGGAAAACACACAGTTTATCGCATGTCGGCTTCTACTCCTGAGGAAATGGCAGAATGGATCAAATGTATACGGTAAGTCTGCAAGTTACTAGGTTTTATATATGTACTCTACTCTTTGAGACAGATGTAGATTTAATACAATATGCTTGCACTCACTGTCTGTGACTATCATCCACTTTAAAAGATAACGCTGGTTACAACTGTTTTCATCTTGAGGATAACTAACTAGAGAGAGTGTGTGTAATGTTTTTAGTGTGATACCTATACCTTCCTCCGTGGGTCAAGTGAAGATTAGGTAGTATAATTTTCATGTGTACATTTGTTTCTGGCTAAGATTCCAGATTACGTCAGTATCGAACTTAAATCTAACTTCAATAATAGATTATACCTATACCTTTCTCTAGTCAAACTGAAAATTAGGCAGTATAACTTATATTGTACTTTTGTTTCTGGCTAAGGTTTCTGATTACATCAGTACTGAACTCAAAACTAACTTAAATTATAGATTATACCTTCCTCTAGTACAACTGAATAAAATTAGGGAGTATATCTGGCTAAGATCCCAGATTGTGTGTGTACTAACCTTTAAAGCTGAATTCTATTATACTTATGCCAAACACGTGAGTGTTGGATTAGAATTTTTAAAACATGCTTCATTGGATTGAATACAGTTTGCTCACATTAAAGTAGAATTTAAATCAGTTGTGAGGTGGTTGAACCAGAAAGTAAATTATTTACTGAGTGGTGTTTAAACAAAGATCAGGTGAACCAGATTTGGGGTGGTTGTAACAAAGGTTGAATGATACATTGTGTGGTGTTTAGAATATGAGATAAAATATTCCAGCTGTGAGATTGGTGAAACAAAGATTGGGTAATATAGTGAGATTTCTTAAGTAAATATTTAAAAAGTAGAATTTTGAGGTGTTTTTTTTTTAATATAATATTGGAATTTCATTCTGGAATGTATAAATATTTGTAAGCAAAAATAAAGAGAGGACATGATAATCAGAATAAACTTAAAATAAATTGAGGGATGTTTGAAATGTTGGTTGAAAGTTAAATTGGCAATGAACAATTGTATAGAATCTACTACTGAAAGTTTAGAACATTTTCTAAAAATTTGTAACTTTTTATTTACAGGCAAAGCATCAGTCATAACCCTTTCTATGACATGCTTAGTGCTCGCAAAAAGAAAGCACAGCATATATAAAGGAAAACTGCTTACAGTAGAAGAAATATTTAATAAAAGAATGTTGTAGTTAACTTCTGAAGTTTTTTTCCCTATGAAATCAAGAATTTATTCTACTTTTGACATAGAGGAGTGAACATGATTGTAACTCAGTTGATAGGGAGAGGAAGAAAATTGCGATCACTGACTAAGAAGGAAGAGAATAGATAAACTTGTTTTATAGTGCACCTTTAATAAAAAAAGTTTTTGGAGAGTAACTAAAGAAAATAAAACATTTTGCTGGACATTGCTCAGTAACAAACAACAGAAGAGTTTTTTTTAATAAAGAAAAACAATCATGCATCCTTGAAAATAGAATTATGAACAGGATACAGGAGAAAGATATCAGTGGCTTTAAGAGCAAGAAAAAATTTAACAATAGGTAGTAGAAAAATGCTGTTATTTATCATTTCTTTTGTTAAAAAAAGTAATTTTGTGGACATTACCCAAGTAGGGGAATTGGAGAAAAACCTATCTAAGGTTGCTTCTAGTTACATGAAGTTTGAACAGTAAGTAGTCCATGAGTGAAAAGATTAGAAATATAAAGACTGTTTTTCATTTTATGTGAAACTGCACTTTTGTATTCAAGTTTGCAGAAGGTCCCTGTAAAGATTAGTGAGCTGTGCCCATTAAACAAATATACAGTTTGTACTAATAGTAGTAACTTGTGTTAAAAAATGATTGGTGGTGAACACTTGCTGTATTCCAGGAAATGTGGTTAGTCGGTAGCAGCAACTGGACAACAATCAACCAAACCACTTCTGTTTTACTGGAAAATAAGTATGAGTAAGAAGCTTGACAATGACAAGTTTTTCCTTTTTCTAAGGATCATTAATCACTAGAAATGAACCAGTAATGTACTGTGATTTGTTTAAAAGAATTTCTTTTTCACAAACTAATCATATGAAATCATTTTCAAAGTAGTTTAATAATTTCCGAAACATTATTATTGTGTTTATATCTTTTTTTTTCTTATATCGATAGTGGTTTATAGAACATTGATTAGATGTGATATTATATTTATATATATTTCAAGTAATCATGTCCATTTTGTAGTGCGATGTAACCTGTGTGTATATATAAATACTCATATTTAATAGTTTGGGGAGAAGAATAAAAGCATACTCTAAAAATATCAGTAACCTGCTTACAAGTATTTGTTTGCTAAGAAATTCTGTATTATAAAAAAAATTTTTTTTTCTTTATTAACAATTAATTTAAAGTTCGTATTTGTTTTCTGGAATTATAGACTAATGGATATCTGGAAAGAGAAAAATATTAAAATATCTTATAAGGTATAAAAATGAAAAATATTGATGAATAATTTAATATGTAAAAAATATTTCTAGTCTTGTCCAAAAGCCAAAGAAAAATTTGTATTATTAATTATACCAAATTCTAATGATTGGGAGAAAGAAGATAATATTAATTGCCTTTTTACTGGATTGTCAGGGTTATTACGTTGGAGTTCAAGTGTTGGCACAAATTCCACAAACTTCTTTAATACTTATCATAGACATTATGAAAAATAATTCACTGTTAAAAAAAAAAGAGTGCCAAAAATTATCTTTTTTTATGAACTTATCAACATAATCCAGACTTGTTAGTCTACAAAAAATTGTTACTTGTGATTAGTGTTTAAAATCAGAAGTGATTGATTTATGGCAACCCAATAGAATTTTAAGTGGCTTGACCATTGTAGCTAGAGCTTTTCTCAGGGGCTTAGCTTTTATTCTGAGCTGACCACTGTCCAGAGTTGTAGGAGCATGATTTCACAACATTGAGCTTTTAATGTCAAAAATGTTGCTGGAGTTTAACTAGGCTTCTACCAATTACGTAATTTCTTGATACAATAAAAGTTAATTGACCTATGATCACAGTTCCTCTGGAAGTTATTAGCTTGAAATGGTAAGTAACAATAAAAAAGGATAAAAAACAGATACTTGTAATAAAGTTTAGGAATTTTGTCAGTTTTTAAGAAAGCCAACCAAGGTTTATTTGACAATAACAAATAAGTTATTATTGTTTTAGTTCTGAATAAATGAAGTAGATAATGATTTAGAAAGTACCTACATAAAGAAGTGTTAGTAACAAGTTTCTTCAGCAGTAAACATGCGTAAAAATTACAGTGTACGTTTTGATTTTGTTTATGTCTTTATAAGATATCTATAAATTTTTAGATACAAGTTTTAACACTGTAGTCTAATATTGTTGTTGTAGAGAAATACCTGATCATTTGGGTCAGTATTTTTATAGTACTGCTACATTGATTCTTGACATTATGATTTAATAGTCCCCCACGTGGAATTTTATAACATTAAATCTATACCTTTAAATACTATACCAATTCATATTTTTTTGCTACCGTTAATAAATTTTTTATTATGAGAATTATCACAGTGTTGTGATATGGTTTACCTGCCATTCAATGTTGTGCTTATACATGTGAAGACAATGTTATTGTACCTGGAGTATATTGTAGGGAAGCTATCTGTGTATAAACGATTAAAGCTTGGACCTATTCAATAGTTTTGTGTAGAATGTTGCATATGTCCAAGGAAGTTGTGGCAGTTAAAATCATTACGTGTATTTAATAGTAAACTTGTATATTAATAATTTATAGTATATGGAAGATCTCATACGTAATTCTATTTTTTTTCCACAATAAGCTATTGCTCTACAGCCATTGTTCCACATTGCTAAGAAGTGTGTTGTTTTTCAGTTTGTATTTTATGTATTGATGTTTCAGGGTTTTACTTTGAGTCTAAAATATCCTCTAATATCTGGGAGGGTATGTCTAACAAAGTGACCTATGAAAATGTTGTATTTTTTATTAAGTTTCTCAGCTACTTGATATTTTGGACAACAAAGGAATCTGTAATTGAAACGACTTGAAAATCATGAACAATTACACAGAATGAATAAATAGCAAGCCTTCTTAGATATAGTTCCAATATTTACTACTCAAAGGACAGTATCAAAATAATGTCTTTGTTCTTTTATATATTTTTTACTTGCATAAAACATGGAGGTGGTTAACACTTGGGAGTGCAGGGTACATTGTGCAAGTAAATTTGAAGTAAACATTCAAATTCGATGACGAGGAACCCACTTTGAGACTAATAATGGCTGGAGACGGCTTGAATGGGTAATGAAGAAAAACTTTAATATAAGTTTAACATAACAGCAAATGTACAACGTTTCGACAAGGTTTTGTCATCATCAGGTTGCTGTTATGTTAAACTTATATTAAAGTTTTTCTTCGCTACTCATTCAAGCCTTCTCCAGCCATTATTATGTAAACATGTATATATCAACTGATATGTTGTAGGAATGGACATTTTAACCTTAAATTGAATCTTTGATAATATTGATTGATATTTAATAGTAATATTTACGTGAACACTCTAATTTTTTTTCTTAAAGTTTCTGAGATTGTAAAACGCAAGCCCTGTTTAGAACATTATAACCACATGAAGAAGCCTCTTAAAGGCTTAAACAGAAGAAATGAGTAATTTGAATGAATACGGCACTATTAAAATTATCGTACAGGTTATTTAACGGTTTAAATATATAATACTAAAATAATGCTGAAGTTGTTTTACGTTGGTCAGGTGTTTTTGATACATGATTTTTCATCCAATATGGAAAATTTAAAATACGGAAGTGTTGGTGTTAGATAAACGAGAACAATTTGAAGACAATAATTTCATACAATATTAAATTATATATAGTCTGTAATGCGTCATTTTACAAATTATGGTTTAAAATATATTTCATATAACTTTCCTTAATGCTCCAATATGAAACACTTAACATTAACAATTGATAAGTGAAATGTACAAAGTTGACTCTTAAGTTTTTGTGATAAATATTATTGCGAAAGTGTATAAAACGGTCACCATAGGTCATTCTTATAGTTACGATATTAGCATCGAAAGTTTCACTAAATAATAGTGTAGTAGATTGAGACATCTTTTGTCCTGGTAAAATTATCATGTGTGTAATTTTGTTGAAATATCGGATTAAAAAACGTATTTTTTTAAAATCCAACTGTAACAACCGGCCTTAATGTTCCTAATGGAAGAATGAATTATTGCGTGTTATCACTCATTTTATTTTATAACATTTTTTGTATTTTAGATTTCAATCGGAAGAGTACAATATTTGTTTATAAAATAACAATATCTATTGACAAGTATAATTGGTATTGTTTGTATATTTTTCAGTCTGTAGTTTGAAACAGTATTTTTTGTTTGTTTTTAAGAGTTGGATTATTTGTTGAATATTTCTTGCAACAGTGAGGTTTTATCTGTCCAGTTATTCTCACCAGTAATAAACAATTTAGGAACTATGCCAAATGTTGTGATATACGATGGTTTATTGCAGATTTTTGGAAGTGACTTTTATAAATTGCAAAAGTGATGTGATTTTCCCCAACTTTTCTGTTAATACAGTGATGCTATGGTAAATTTCCAACCTCAGAATGTTTTGTCATTATCTCTTTACTCTTTTTTTTTATGTAGTGATGGTGATTCGCTTTTCAAGCGTTTGTTTAATTAAAAATACTTTAAACTTCCTTCCCTGTAGTTTGAGTAGAAATCCAATAAATTACTTGTACTTTTAATGTGTATTTGAATGAATGTCGATTAATTCTTATACGATTACTATAAAACTAAATGAGGTACATTAAAATATTTGAAAAAGAAAACAACAACGGACCAATGTTTTAAAATGTGCAAAAGACTTAGCACTTCCATTATCCCCCCAGTGATAAGTAGAAGGGTTTTATAACGCTAAAAATCAGGATTTGATACCCGCGGTGGTTAGAACTCGTAGCATCATGCAACTTTGTTCTTAAAAACAAATAAAATCATTCGGTTAAGATACGAGCGTACATTAAAATACTGTCATAATTTCATAAGCTTGTCGTTAATTCAAATAAATTGCAGTAACAAATTGACTTTTAAACTGGTGTTATATAACAATAATTATTAAACTTTGGTCAAAAACGAAATTAGTGAGGCTTAGAAAAAGTTAATATTTTACTGGCAAGTATTCTTGTAAGCCAAAGGTATGTACAAAACAACTATTTGGTTAAAACAATAATTATCTAAAATTTTAACGTCTTTGGTAATACAATTCAATTGATGATTTTTATAATTGTTTTTCTGTTGTTCACTAATAGTACTATAAATACGGTGTTCTAAAATATCACAAGTATTACTTTTTTTTTAAATACTGATCGGCACACTTATACCATTATTACACATAGTTTCAGCTTTCCATTGTAAATTTATAAAAGTGTTATAATGCGGAAACTGTCGTTCACTACAAAAAGTTTTATGATGTGCAAATCCCCCAAAACAAATTTCTGATCACTTTCGAAATTCACGCCCAGATTGGTTTTTGAATTTATAAAGACCAGTCGATGGTCTGGCGGGCTTTAAAAAACACGCAGATTTCTGTGCTTTACCGTGCTTGAAAATGTTTTGATTTATTTTAAATTAAATTTGTTGTACTTTCTGCAAGCGATATGTTAAACGTATTTAATGTATTCACGAAAAACAAATTTTAGATGGGAACGAGAAATATCGTAAATAGAATAGCAAATGGTGTGCAATACTCAAAATACTTGTAACCTTTCCATGCCCCAATGAGGGCCTAGTGGTTAAGGCACTCGACTCGCAATCTGAGGGTCGCGAATTCGAATTTCATCCCCAATCATGCACAGACGTTGTAGCGTTATGATGTGACGGTCAATCCCACAAGTCATTGGTAAAGAGTTAGCAGTGTGTGTTATTGACTAGCTGCCTTCATTCTTATCTATCACTTCTGAATTAGGGGCAGGTAGCTCTCGAATAGCTTTTTGCGAAATTCAGAACAAACAAACCATCCACCAAAGATAATTTTAGAGTTAAATATCGCAGTATGTTTTAATAATTGAATACATTTTGGAATAATTTGTAAATATAAAAGTGGTAAACCCTTTTCGTCTAACAACAGCAACAAAACTTGGGAAAATCATATTTCCCTTATGCAGCGTACATAATCACTATTGCTTGAAATATGGCTATTTAGTTTTAAATGATTTTGTCCCAAAGTGTTTTTGTAATATGATGCATTAAGGTAAACTGGATTAACTTGAGAGCTATATCGGATAAGTCCGTTAAACAAGCGATTCTACAGTATAAAGTATAATAGGTCAGTGTTAAACGTATACCAACTGACCTTAGGTGTGGGAATAACTGGGCTGAAAACAATCTAAAACGCTACGAACAATGTTTACTAATACAAAGAAATTGTATTTGCGTAGACAATTTAGCGATAATCTCTACTGGATCAGATTTCTTTACCTCTCTCTGGACGAATTCCTGGAGAACTAAAGACATTGAAAACCAAATAGAACTGTATTGAAACGAGTTTTCCAGCTCACAAGAAACCTTGGTTTCCTTTTTTGGGATTGCGTCACCCCGTAACTAGTCACCTTCCAGCTACATTAATTTACTGGAACTTAAAGATGAGTTAACTAACTTGCTAACTCAGTAATTAATCCACCATTGTGATAAAGTCAGTTATAACTCATTATCTACTAGAACTCACATTCTATAACATATAACTATCAAGTTTCCTAATGCAGCTTCAGCGGATCATTTTTTTAATATTTATTTAGTCAGTTTAAGAATGGTCATGGTAGTCATCTGACGTAATATGTCGGTCACTCCCACTGTTCGTTGGTAAAAAGTTGGCGTGAGTGGTATTGACTAGCTACCTTCCCTCTAGTCTGTCACTAAACAATTAAGGACGGTTAATACATATCCTCGAGTAAATTTGTGCAGAATTAAACAAACTTTTAAGAAACTTCTAGACGTTTAGCCATGCATTCATGGAGATGCCAAATACTCCACTAGCCACAAAACAATATAAACGACTACAAAGCATAGCTACGATAGTATGGAAAATACATTCTCGAATTACATACACAAACATCAACTAAATTTTAGTTTTTCAGTTGTGCTAAAGATATTCTGAAATTACTTTTCAACTCCTTATTTTTTAAATGTCCCCACATTCCAATTAGAACAACTTGTTAGGTTTTACTTTTTTTTTGAGGTATTGAAATAAGTAACTAATTGTAAACAATCATGATTTTGAGTAGAAATACTTCAGTATTACTCAGGATACTTATGGAAAACTTTTAGTGCTTTCTATGACGGAGAGCAAATGGTGTTTGAAGGATGAAAGAAAAGAAAACCCTAAAATTTAACCAGTAAAGCAAGAGGATATTTAGACCTGACAAAGATTGAAACGACACAAAACTGACCAACACAATATTGCGTCATATTATTCAAACTGCCCATGTTTTCTTAAATAATTTCCTGATACAACTTGTCCTACTCATAAGATTTTAGTACAAGCACACAAGATCTGATGGACAGAGGACTTCAAGTAAAAGCCTTACTTCTGAAGATCCAATGATCATAGAGCTAAGTACTAACTTAATATGAAGTGTTGTAAAACTTGCAAACAAAAAGGTGATCATCTTCTTTAGTGAATCCCCAAGTTTACACACACACGAAACGTGCTGAACTGTTCATCACAAGTTTACACACACACGAAACGGGCTGAACTGTTCATCAGAAATTATTAAGCAATAGTATCCTTATCAAGAAAGGCTTGAACTTGACGAAGGTATATAAGCCAAAAGCTCCTAGAAACACCTTGAAATCAATGGTTGTTTTCATGGGGAGATGACTGAAAAACTGGAACCACAGAAACCTCATTCGACCACATATAACTTTCAAGTTCTCTTACGCATCTTCAACGAATCTATTTTTTATCAGTTAGTCTGTTTAAGCATGGTCTTGGTAGTGATCTGATGTACCGACGAGCTCATAGCCCATTAGGATTTCTTCATAAAACTATTGGAGGAAAAAAATTCTAATACCTCATTTTACAAAGAATTGTAAACAATATTTCTCTATTTTTGAAAAATGAGAAATCCGGATAAGTTTTTACTAAACACCTTTAAATGATACGTAGGGTAAATCTAGCTCTGCAAAATTAAAACAATTTTGGCACTCTTTTATATAAAACTATTTTAATTTAAAAAAAAATCTTGAAAGTAAATATCGTTGAAACTCTTGTGACAACAACAGAGTCAAAAAGGAGGGATTTGTTGCTGTTCTGGAGTTTAATGAACATTAAAGCTCTAGTTATAAAGAATGAGAATCTTTCATTTCACTTCTTTTTAACTGTTCCCTATTTAAGAAGAGAAACCTGAAACTGATTAATCAGTATTAACAAATGACATAAGATACAGTACAGAAAAGCCTTTCAATTTTTTTTTGCTCTCCAGGTTGGTTAATATGGATTTTGATCAACGTCGTGACTAACCGTAGCTTCCCTGTAGGACAGCTACGTGGTGTGTACTTGATTTAATAGAATATCGATTGCTTGCCATGTGCTATCTTTATTGTTTTTCAAACAGAACCTGGTGCTAGACTAACTCATTGAGCTACACTGTATTTTACTTGTTAGTACTCCTTGCTGTATGGGATCTGATAGGTTGTGAATGTTGTTTATTTTTGCCTTCCTATTTACCTCGTCACCTTACTATACATTTTTCTGCCATTTTTAATTCTATTCCTTATAAATTTTCCCTTGACAACAGCGGCTTCTTCTGCATGTATCAGGTAATCAAGTGTTTTAAATTGTGTATGTACGGGTACTACATTTCAGTAATTTTACTGAGTTCAAGTGGAACAGTTGTGATAAAACGTTTGTATAACGATAGAGACGAGAGATAAACTATGGTATATATATGTATTATTCCACAAAATAACTTAACCTACACAGAAGGCTTATTTTGAGCACGTGAGGTGTAGTAGCACAACTTCAGTGTAGTTTTGGAGATTAAAGCTGAACTCGGTAGTTACAATTTTAGCCGAATTAAAGAGTATGAAATCATAGTTGATAGTTTCAACAGTTTGGGGTTAAAGCTGTGATATGCTGATATATAGAAGCATATGTTGTATAAAGTAAGTTGTTGTTTTCGTAGTGCAAAGCTACACAAGGGACTATCTACACTCTGTCCATCGTGGGGAATCGAACCCCACATTTTAACGTTGTAGGTCTGTAAACTTACCTTTGGCCCACCGGGATACAAATACGTAAGTAATAAGTTGTTGTTTATGTTAGCTGGGTTGTTGTCTGTTTAGCACAAAGCTAAACAATGGGTTATCCACGCTTTGTCAGCCGCGGGGAATCGAACCCTGGATAATAGCGATGTAATTCCTTATACTTATTGCTGATATTCCGACGGACTGTCAAGTCAGAGGGTTTAATTTGAATACTTTTTTAAAGTTGAAGTAAAAATGTTTCAACAGTGCACAGAATATTGACTGAACTACTAGGTTTATTATAATTAAAATAATCATGTTTTACACAATGAATATGATGATACGTTCGGAAAGAGAAAAGGCTTGTGCAGTATATGAGTAACAAGATACATAAGAATTGCTCTTTATGTAATACATGTAAAAATCGGTAAAATTATACTTATTGTGAACAATCTTAGACGTTGTGGCATAGATTATTTTCAAGGTGGCCATTAAACGAGCTAGTGCATTA